ATTCCTTATTAATATCCTGATTCTTGTCAGCCTTACCCAAAGTCAGCCTATTAAACAAGGTGAAAAATGGTTCGTAGGACAAATTGTTTCACTGTCTTGCTGCCACTAGCTGCTTATTTTTCCCAAGAGTTTTTTTTATGGGGCAAGGCAATCTCTGTCGGTCTAGTGCCTTCCTGCCACCAGATGGAGAAAGCAGCAAGTTGAGCTACATCAGTGCTAGCATTTAAGAGGTCTGTCACTCAGTGTCTCCAGCAGATGGGATACCAGCACCTTTGCCTGCTAACTATAGAGGAACATTGCAAGCAACATCTGCCCACTTTTGCATTTCTGCAAGCACCTTAACAGCAGCCCAAGATCACCACGCTACTCCATCACTCAACAGCTTGGTGAGCTCTTCTGCCTGAAGATTATTCAGCCTGTTCCCTGCTAACATGCCTTTGCTACAAGCTTTCTGCAAAGCAGGCGGGGTATACCACAGCATTCTGCTGCCATGGGCACTCAGATATGGTCCTGGAGCACAACTGAAGTTTTAAGAGCTCAGAACGCATCCTTTTCAAATGCAAATCCCAAGAAAGTGGCTTCTAGAGGGTTTTTTGAGCTGCATGAAGAATCTTCAAGGTGTCAGTTTAAAAGCTCTTCAAAAATGACTGCAGCTTTCCTCCACAGCATTTCAACACAGGTTTGGAGACTTCACTTATTTTCCATTCAAACATTATTCTTCTTCAGAAATTTCATCCACTTACAGGCTTTTAAGGCTTAACAGACTTTTTACCATGCACAGAACCCACCACTGGCCACTTATAGAGTCCTAAGTCTTATCAGCACAGGGGAAGACTCACCGATTTTTCCAATTCAAGGTAAAGCAATAAAACCAAGTAAGACAGACTTCCGCTACTCCAGTCATGTAAGCAAGGACAATTCAGATGAATGAGCCAAGTTCCATGGGGAAGGATGTTTAGTGCTGCTGGGAGCATTAGCTGCTTAAAGGTTTACCTTACAGCTTCTAAAAGTACAAATCTGGCACTGATATTACTGCTTCCCTACTCATCTCCAACCCCACTACTCGGCAAGTATCCTATCGCCCGGACATTAAATCCTTCCTGGAGCTTCAAGCAACCAGGCCAACGTGAAAAGTTTGTCCTTAATTGGGGCTCAAAAAAAGTGACAGCATGATGCTGTATCCATGAACAGCTATTCACACGTACCACCAAGTAGAGAGAGGACAGCAGATGTGCCACAGGCAGGATGCCCCAGGTAAGGCTGAGAGTAACTTCTGGCTGCTGGAAGTTACGGTCTCCATACCTCTTCCCCTGCTCCCCTGGGCTGGCAGCACCTGTCAGGCTGCACGCATCCAGATCCTCCACTTGAGCCTGCTGCCAGGTCTGCCGGAGCAGGGCAAAACAGGCAATTCTTGTCTTCTAGCAGGAACAGGTGATGTGAGAAAAAGCCATTGTACTGCTGCAGTCGGCAAGTGACTGCTACAGCAGAATGAAATGGGAGAAGTTGCCACCATGCAAACAGCTCCCTGCAGCTACTGATTAAGCTCTTAACTGCTTCATTCCATTACCTCAAATGCTTTGGGAAAGTTTGCTCACTGCACATCAAGGTAAGGCTCTGGAAGTGTAAAAACAAAGGTTTTTGGCTCTAGGTCTTTTAGCCTGCAGAGCCAGTTCCTTTCAGAAGCTGAAAGGTGCTTTACTAGATTGAAAGGCTTTCCACAATGCCCAAGCAACCAGGTGGACTCCAGCAGCCAACTCCACAATAGGTTTAACTTCCACATCAGCGACCAAGGTGAGAACCCCTCCCAGATGTACTTTTTAATCCTTCCACTGCTTCAGGAACTTTAGGCTTGACCTTACACATCTCTAGCGAAGACATTTATTTTATTTAGTTTCTTAAATGAACTCACAGAACAGAAATTTAAGTTTTTGTACTGGCAACATGCTGGAGCCAATTTTAAGTTGCTATGGCTACAAGAAGAGTCCGTTTACTATTCTAGATCTGAGTGCAGATTTAACTACCCTTGCCTGGTTCCAGCCGTCTCTTCCCAGCCCTCATTTCGTTTTAGTGCAAGAGACTACTACTGCAGATTTGATCTCAGTTCATCACAAGCAACAGAGCCCTTCTGGCACTGACATCTTGACACCACCAAATGCAAGCAGCCAAACTCCCAACATAATGAAAAATTCATCCCATGTAACAAAGCCCAAGAGCATGAAAAGGCAAAGCTCCAATGACTTCCTTAGCTGGGTGTAAACCAAAGGCTGTTAATCTTCCCTCAAGTTCTCATTCGCTGCTGAATACTAAGCATTAGTCTTTCACAAGCATAGATCTCTTGCAGCAGTTTTCATGGGTATCTGTTAGCATACAGCACAACAACTGCTTTTCCAGCTACTATTAATAAACTTTCTGCTGTAGAGATCCACAACTCTCCAAACAGCAACATGTCCATCAGCAACTGAATTAACTCTGAAGCGGAGACTTCTCACTGGTGTTTGTCTAGAGCCTTGCTGAAGGCACCTTAAAGCGAAATCAGAAGCATACTGACACGGCAAGTCGCTGTGTCTGATACATAAGCAAAGATATGTACCAAGCAAGCAAGTTAACAAGACTGACTCAGGTCAGAGGGAAGTTGCAAACAATTAAGGAGCGTTTTGTACTTTGAGTTCTCGCAGACTTGTCATGTTCAAGTGCAAGAGTCGCAAACACCCATAGACTGACTCAGTTCTAACCAACATCTCCTTTATACAAGGAAAACATTTTAATTCCTAATCTGTGGATCCTCTTAAGTGAATCCCATGCCACCAGTGACATGTTCTCTGGTTACTCTCCTACCGCTATTAACTAATACTCTGCCTTTAGTCACTAGATCAGCTTTTGGACCACTGTCAGGTTTGTTTAATACCTAACTGGGCATGTGCTGGATCATTCCCAAGATGTGACTAAGCCTGTTTAATACAGAACAAACTACCACCTCCTCTCTCCCTACTAACTTCTATTATCTTCTTTATATTCTGCAACTGCTTCATATCACCTGCTCAGGAGATTTTTTTTTGCAGCTACACTGTCATTGCTACATTGTCAGCTATGTGATCGATCTCACCATGTTTTCAGCCCCAGAGCACTCCCATGCCTATTTGCAAAGCAGGTTCCAGCTTACCTAGGACAGAGCCAGCATAAATTAACCGCATGTCTAAATAGCATGGGTGGGCAGGACAAACATTTCATTCTCTGCTTAAAACACTGAAAAAATTGAGATTCAGGGAAGGTTTGTGCTAAAATGGGTAGACAGGCTTTTGTTTCATCAAGTCCATGAAAGTGTTACTTTCAAGAGCCTGTCTTGTCAGTATTTCCTGCATCCCTAGAGTTGCTGCCTCACATTTCTTTTCCCTTCTGTTTCCAGAATATACCATGTGAGTGTTTCCAGACTCCACCAAGCAATCCTCAGCACGGTAGAAAATACGACTGAAAGATCTTGCAACCACAGTGAGATGCTTATGTAGATATATCAAGTCCTGCACTCCATCAACCCCAACCAGTAAGAGAACAGCTTCCCCAGCTCTAGCCTGCCAAAGGCAGCAACATGCATTACACAGGGCTGGAGAGGCGGAACAGCTTAAACTTCCTGTCACTGCGTACTCAGACAAGCTGGACAAAGCCAAGTTGCTCCTGAACTCCTCCCCAAGGCAGGCTTTCCACTCGAGCTATCCTGTCACAACACTGGCTCAGTGCTGGTATAGCAGCAATGCACAGTGCTGTAGGGTAGGAATCCAGAGTCTTGACATCTGGATTCTGGAAACAGGAGTCAAGCCTTTTACTTAAAGCAATGTAGAGACTAGAGCGAAAGTCCTTTTGTCATCATTTTCCTTAAAATTAAGCTCTGTTCATTACATTAAGCAGCCAGGGAGAGGACAAGAGAAGGCTGAATATAAGTGCACTGGCTTTGACCGTCCAAGACTACACAACACTGAGTTACATAACCTCAGCAGCCAGCTGGTTGCAGGTTTACATCCTTCACCTTTCCTACTTGTTCAAGGCCAAGTGCAGATTTATGAAGTCACCTATGCACCACTCAAGAGCTCAACTCTCTCCACTTCAAAGAAGTTAGGAAGAGGTGGCAGGAGGAGAAGGTTAGAACAGGTACCAGGAGGGGACTGTCCTGGACTTCAGTAATGTTGGTGCACAGCTTGAAGTCCACACAGGAGTCCAGAGCCAAGATCTCTTGCAATCTCACTTTCACAACTTGAACAGACCTTTACCACCAATTTGCAAATGCACGGTGTTTTCAAACAGTGCAGTACAAGCTATGAGCTGTTTCTGAAAAGCCATTTTGTCTGCACAAGGGAATAAGAGTTCCCCACATCCAGAAAGATGGAAAGCTTTTCAGAGGCAGGAGGACAAACAAAGCCCAGCAAGCAACAATAACGGCAGAACATTTTATCTAACTACTGCCAGCAGGAAACTGGCCTGTGGCTATTTATCTGAACAACATCTTGAAGTCAAGAAGAAGGCTTCCGAGGTCGGAAGACAAGAACACCTTATTTTCATCAGTATGGCAACAAATTCACAGCTACTTCCACTTCCTTTTAGTGGGTACTAAAGTAGGTTTCCAAGCTATCACCTTTCAGCAAAGTGACCACCGCTTGTAGAAACCAATCAAGTAAATATTTGCTACTGTTTTCACGGAATTTTTGCTTTCCAGACATAAGACTTCAATTTGTCTACAGTCACATGAACGTAATAGGAGGGAGGGAGATTTCAGCCAAGGACACGCTTTATTACTTATCTTTCCAATAAAGAACAGAAGTTGGTTAAGAGCTGCAACCTTCCAGAAGGGAATAAAGAAGGTCTAGAAAGCAAGGCAAAGAGGGTCTAAGCTGGCTCCAGAGCAGTTAGCATGAAAATATTCAGAACAGCATTAGCTTCACAAAGAAGGAGAAGGTGTGGGGGGAGAGGGGGAAAAGCACCAGCAGCAGCAGCAACAAAACCCACCAACATACCTTTGAGTTAGAGAGCACTGAAGTGTAGAAGAATGCCTGGAAGTATCAAGGGTACATTAGCTATCCAGAGATGACTAGAGCTCTAAATCACAGCTCTGCTACAGTGAAGTGGAAGATGATGTCTGTATCCTATCAAGACTCAGAAGCACTTGGGAAGCCAGGTAAATCCTGTTTTACCTTGCTTTGTGCTGCAGTTAATGTTAATGTTTCACCATCGGGTCACAGGTCAGGAGGTGGAAGCGGGCAGAAAAGCAGAAAGTACCTTCAAATCTGCAGGGTCCTAAATGCCCCAGATACCAACCCTACCCACGGAAAGGCTCCCTCAAGTCCAACTGTAGGCATTTTTCAAACAATACTTCCTCTGTACCTGCCACAGAACAATCTGGTGTCCGATTAACATATACCAAGGAGCTAGCTCTGGTCTGAATTAGTCTGACACTTTTATGCTCTTCCTCAACAGACTGGTACTGAGCTCCCACCATACTACACATCCTCTGTCAAGGGAAAGAGGCAGCACGAACAAGTCAAGCAGCACTCAACTTCCAAGGACAGGTCCGAGAAGCTCCAAGACACCTCCCCAGAAGTAGCTGGTTACTCAAGCACTGGCAATTGGAAAAATGAAAGCTCTTTTTTCCTCTAAATATGTACTATTTCCCACAACTTACTATGCGTTCATTTGCACATGGTTTACTTAGCACGAAGGTGCTTAAAATGGAAGGCTGAAGAATACCAGTCAGAGTTTGTGTTATACCTTGCTATGCTGGCTATAGCCAGATTGGTCACTGTTCATGGAGGTTTCTTCCAGATACGAAGTCAATACTACCACAATCTTCTCTCAGTCACAGTAGTCGACGCAGCCCCTACTCTACCAGCTGAGCCCCAAGACATCTTTCTTCCTTTATCCTCAAGGGTCTCAGCAAGTAGGGGATCAATTCCTAAACCTAAGATGAAACTGCAAGCGTCTATCATCCAATCAAAAAGGTAAATGTGATAAGCACACCTCACTTCTGTGACATTTCTTGATGTGAAGATCTGAATACTTACTGCTTCATCCTACCCAAATCTGTGCAATTCTACAAACCCAGATAGGCTAGCTGGCATATGCTCACACATGTTCTCTCAGAGCATTTACCAGATCTGAGGGAGCACCAAGTATTCCGAGATTTAAGACAGAAGGCTACGTTTCACAGACTCACAGGATGGTTGAGGTTGGAAGGGACCTCTGGAGGTCATCTAGTCCAACCCCCCTGCTCAAGCAGGGTCACCTAGAGCACATTGCCCAGGACCACATCCAGAAAGCTTTTGAATATCTCCAAGGAGGGAGACTCCACCACCTCTCTGGGCGACCTGCTCCAGTGCTCAGGCACCCTCACAGTAAATAAGTTTTTCCTTATGTTCAGACAGAACTTCCTGCGTTTCAGTTTGTGCCTGTTGCCTCTCGTCCTATCGCTGGGCGCCACTGAGAAAAGCCTGGCCCCATCCTCCTGCAACTCTCCCTTCGGATACTTATACATATTGATAAGATCCCCCTCCTCAGCCTTATCTTCTCCAGGCTCAGGAGGCTCCCTCAGCTTTTCCTCAGAGGAGAGGGGCGCCAGTCCCTTACTCATCTTAGTAGCCCTCCGCTGGACTCGTTCCAGGAGCTCCATGTCTCTCTTGTATTGGGGAGCCCAGCACTGGACACGGTTCTCCAGGGGTGGCCTCCCCAGGGCTGAGTAGAGGGGGTAGGATTATTACCTCCTTTGACCTGCTGGCGATGCTTTGCCTAATGCAACCCAGGATACCGTTGGCCTTCTTGGCCACAAGGGTACATTGCTGACTCATGGTCAGCTTCTTGTCCACCAGGACTCCCAGGTCCTTCTCTGCAGAGCTGCTTTCCAGCAGGTCAGCCCCCAGCCTGTACTGGTGCACAGGGTTATTTCCAAGGCTAAGTCACTGCTAACTGGTACAACCATACAAGAAGCTCCTTGATCAAAAGGGATGTGCTGACAAAGCTCCCACCATGTGCATTTCATACTTGCAGAGCCCTTTCATCAACACTACCTAAATCCATGCCCTGCATGGCATGAACCATCCCAGCACAGTTTTTCAGGGATACGCTCAATCTCTTTGAGCGGAGCAGCTTGCTGGTGCAGCTAAAGCCCTCAGCTTAGACACCAGCCTGCAAACACTGACATCTTTCTTCATCTCAGGGTTAACTGTACTACTTTGAAGCAAAGGATGCCCTGGTATGGAGTGGCACAGTGAAATATTAGGCTGTGAAAGTCCCTGTGCCTGTGTTAAGGGGCTTGCTGTCACCCACCAGCCTGGGAAAAGAATACTGGTCAAGCCAGAGATTCTCCACAGGCTGCAGGAAACCATCAGGTCACTTACTCCACCTCTCCAGCTCAAAACTCTGCGAGGCTGAGTCATCTTATTCCTACCCAGGAAGTTATGCTGACCGTGCTCCTGACCAATTCTAACACTGTGCATAACAGCAGCTAGACCAACTCAGACACAGCAGTGAAAACAGCTTTAAGTGAGGTAAGCCAGTAACAGATAGTGATGAAGAGATGGTGCAGAGAGAAGGGGGGGGGGAAAAAAAAAGAGGGATCCTCAAATTAAGGAAAAGTTTCCTGCTACCAGCAATAGAGAGCAAGGAAGAAGCAATTTCCCCAGCTCTCCTGATCACAGTCCAAATCCCAAAGAACATCCATGAGTAGTCCTAGGCATCGCCTTACCACAAGAAGCAAGAGTAGACAATAGGATACACTGTTATCTGTATAGCCCTTACTTCTCTCACAAGCATCATCCAGCAGGTTAATGAGAACTGGTAACACGACGCCAAATAACATTGTCCAGTTCAAAGGAGACAAGCCAGGAACGCAGTGTATATGTTCCAGTGGTCCATAATAAGAGTTTTTGAGTCAGAAAACATTTCAGAGTTGAAATTCTGTTTCTGTGGTTACCCTTAAATTGCTGTTCCTGTAATTTTTGGCAAGTCTGAGTTCACATCACCGGAGTGCCTTAAGAATCTATTCCAGGTAGCAACTTTGAGATAAACTGGTGAACAAGGTTTGGGGAGACAGGGCTATCCATGCACATTATGGAGTTTATTGCATGCCGTTACAATAAGACGAGTCTCCTGTGAGTGAGCTAGCCATCTTTAACCACTAGCACAAACAGCTAAAGCAAAACCAATCCCCTCCAAGAAAAAAAGCAACCAACAACACGACACAAAAAACCCACAACACACCCAAACCCAAAACTAGAAAAAACAAGCCAACAGAAAGGAGCTTTATTGTTTCCATGTACCCCAGCCATCAGAGGTCTCAGAGGAGGATCCAAGAGCTATATGCTCCATTACGACCTCAAGCTCATTTTCATTTAGTTTAAGAGCTATTTCTAATCAAATCCATACCTAGGTGCTACACTTGGCCAACTGAGGGAAACCCATCATGGTCTTACAAGTCAGTGGCTTTTCCTAAAGCCCGTACATAAAGGCTTATTAAGAGCTTAAAGGGAAAGTCTAAAAGCTTGAGCTGCTGAAGACTAGCCAGTTAATCTAGCAAATGTATGTAATGCCCCACTGTATTTATTTACAGGGCATCTTGGTACCCGTCCACAGATGTGCAACTCAGCCTTCTGCTAGAACGTCCTGAAGTTTTTAGCAGAGGCAACACCAAGACAGCCCACGCTGTGAGTTGTTACAAGGTCAGAAGTACAGGAGAACAGCAGTTTGCGACAATAGCCATTCCGTCCTGACCCTACAGATCTTGCAAAGGAAGCCCTGTTCACTGTTCATGAGTCACGCTCTCAGCCAGCCAAGACAGACCCACGTTCTCACCACACACACACAACAAAACAGCAACTGTGTGATGCAAGAAGCAACTCAGATGAGCAATGGCACTACCCACAGTTTTCAGATACTTTGTACAGCTTAAGCCAAGGCCTACACATCGGTTCTTCACTTGCAAGGTTACAGTGAAGCTGTCTCCCTATAATCCTGTGTTCAGCTCAGAACACAGAACAGGGTGCCCTGCCCCTTCACCAGTTACCCTTCCACCCGCACAGGGCTTTGAATGTCCTTGTCTCTTGGTGCTGCAAGCATCCAAAGTCAGGAACAGCAAGGTGACAAGCAGGGCACGCCTTCCTCTCAGCACCACAGTACTGACTACTGGATCTCAGCTCTGCAGCACAACCTGGAATTCCCCAGAAACAGCTAGAAAGGCACGTTCAACATTTCAAGGACAGTTATGCCTCGACTCAGTTGCTGACAATGTTCAAGCAGGCCTGAGAGCACCTCCCAGAAGTCTGTGGGCTCATTTTTCTGCCTGCACTGAAAGGGTCTCTGCCACTGCCCAAAGCTCCAGGGCCCAAGCCACAGAAAGCCATCACACACACCTGAGCACAGAGGGAAGAAAAGCATCTGCCTGGGATGCTTTCCTGGGCCCAGAGCCCCAAGCAAGCTTTCTAGCTGCCATCTACTGAGGCTGGTGGGGGCCATGCAGCAGCCCTCACCTACTAGCAGGTCACCTTGTGCCAGAGCCAAGCAGGCCTTGGCACGCATCACCCTCACTCAGGCCTGAACACACCTGTGCTGCAAAAGGGCTGGAGAGGGCTGCTCATCTGCACATAAGGGTGCGTCTGGTGGCATAACCGATAGCCGCACAGTGCTGTGCTTCAGTGCTCCAGGAGACACCACAAGGCTGAGGGGCATTCAAAGCACTTGCTGCTGCCCCTTGTGCAAGAACAGCAACACACACATTAGATGCCAACAAATCATCTCCACCTTGGTACTAGAAATTGTTCCTCCAAGGCCTTCCCTAGCTCCCCCGGGAAGTGCTACTACAACAGCTTACAATCCTTGCTCTACAGCCTTGGCTTTTCTACCATCACAGATGGCCTGCACAGCACTCCTCCAAGGGAAGCCTTTCCCTCTCACCTTTTTGTCTCCATTCTACACTGAGAAGCGGAAAGCAGCTAATCAACCCTATTCTCTTCCCCTGTTGTTCCTCAGATATCTGGGGGATTTGTACTTGCATTACTTCTACCCTTTCCAGGGACAAGTCTGCTATCTGCATTACAGTGGATAGAGTACTTGAAGGATGATGCCTTGCCAGTCTGAGCAGGCTGGTTAACAGATGTGGCAGAAA